AAATGAAAAAAATCATTTTTTGAAATTGAAATGAAAATCGAAACGTCGCAAAATCGCAATTGATAAATATTCAGTTTTTCTATGCCCAATCGCTCATACAAATTTATTTAAAAACTCCTCCCTCGGTCAATTATGCAATCATTAGCAAAAGTAATTATTATTAGAAGATGTAAATATTCTTCTGATCCGGTGATTAATTAGTTTTGACGAATTCTTTATTTATACTCCCCGTTTAATTATGATGATTCATTTATGATGTGATTTATGATCTGATATCAACGAATTAATAATTAATTATCTGGCGAAAACTTTATTTCAATCAGAATTGAATGAAAAAAAAGTTGGTCTCAATTTCTCTGACATGTGCATCGCGTTACAAATTCATCATCAAGAACAGACACAATTATTCATGTAATTCAAGAACAATGACCACTTGTTTTATAAATTGTGCCAATTATTATTGGAAATAGAATGAAATCAATCATTCGAATACCCGGAAATAGGCGTTCCACTGCAGATGAGCGCCATCGAGTTTTTTTACGTACAATCGACAATCTCCAACTGCAAGGGGAATTGTAAATTCAACCAGATCCACTCGCTCTGGTGTCATGCTGAAGTCAGCAGCTCCTATATCAACTTCTCCTCGGAGAACTCTCCCAATTACACCTGTCCATTTTGATGATTGATAATCATAGCTACCGTAATAGGGCTCCTTTATCAGAACTGATATCGAAAAATTCATTGTTCGAGATAATTCCTTGATTATTTCTCCCAACATACCATCGAGCTCTCCGTTCTTCTCCCAAGCATAACTGGAACCCTGAACGAGGAAAAAAATTACTGAATTACTGAATTAATTAATAATTTTTTAAAACCGGAAATAAATGATATCTTTAAATTTAATTATAAAAAATCAACAATTCAATGAAAAAACCAAAAAAATCTGTAAAATCCACAAAATTATCTAATGAAATCGAAATAAAAATAAAAATCAACAATCACATGTTGCAAAATGATAAACGAAGACAAGTGCCTGTTTCCATTATCAGTTTTCATGGAATATCTCAAAAATAAAGAAACATATAGATATTTTTATAATAACATTTTTGTCAGCTCTCCTCTTTCTCTCTTCTCTACTTCAATTCCGAGATATTCACTAAAAAAGCCGAGAAATTCATTTGAAACCTGTAAATCTGAGTTTCTAATGATTGGATGGATTTACCCTGACGACGGAGACGCGGATTTCCCGTTGAACGAAGAAATGTCGTCGACTGTAAAGAGATTGATCAGTTGTCCATCGAATCTCTCCATCAGTCCAAATACCGAGTGCCCTGGAATGGGTCTCATTTCCCGCCTTGGACCACCACTCCCCGATGATGTTCGAGTCACAACAAGAAATAATGACTTCCGAATTGAACTTGAG